GTCTATTTTTCGAGCCTGTACGACTGGAAGGGGCATTCTACACTTTCGCTAGATCCTTTTGCTAGTTCGTTTTGGATTACACGTCTCACCCTGGTGAGGCCTGTAGACTCTTGTCTAATGTAAAGAGAGCCCGTGTTATTGCATAGCTTTACAGGAATTAGAGGTCTGCACAGAAAGCATTGGCAGTGGTCGATAGGAACCAGGGAACTGCCCCCACCAAGCCGAACTGTGCCTGTTTTTTCCTCTTTAAGCGTCATGACAAGAGAATTCGAGCGACTTTTCCACTTCGTATTGGTCCATGCCCCTCCCGCTTCTGTTGTGTCTCCCTTATTTCAACTGCCAATCAGCTTCTTCCACGTTTCCCACTCTCAGGGTTGCTCTGAAGAAATCGCGATTTACTCACCTCACTCCGCCCACTTTGGCGCACGCTCCGCCCACCAATCGTCAGTACTTTGGACGGTACGTTTACGAAGTGCAATGGGCGGAGCGTGTGCCTGCATGGGCGAAGCTACAACCAAAAGCTGGTGATTCGACCTGATTATTTAGTTGTCAACCTGTTCATGATTAATCGCTGGGTAATTAAGTCCCTTAATTAAAACCTTTTTGTACAAATGAATGCCACAATTCTGGAAGTGGCTTTGCTCTGGGGAGACCCAGTGTAGAAGTGACTAACAGAATATACAGTAAGTAGTACCGAGGAGAGTATTATAAGATAAGACAGATAAACAAGTATGGTAAGCGAATTAGTAATGAATGGTTGAAACTTAATTAATGGTTAGTGATTAATGGTTAGGCGAAATTCGGTTTAGGGGGAGGGGAACATTCTGCACTTTTGCCGCTTCCCATCGACGTGTCGAGCCATCAAGTGGAGACCTGTGAAGTCTTGTCAAGCTATGCAGTAGTACTAGTTGAAGTTTTTAGAGACCCCTTGGCATCTCTTGTAAATAGTACCTGTCAATTCTTGTAAAGCAAAGAAGAGGTTCGCAGGAAGTAGCCAACAC